GGCGCGGTTCCTCCTAAGAGGGGTGGGGCATTTTGCACTTTCGATACTTCCCACTGTCGTATTCAATACACCCCAACAGTACGCCCCTATTTGTTACAAGATATGACGAGTGGCTTTTTTGAATTTTACGTGGTACCACTTCATGGCTTCACAAGAAATTTCAGATCCTAACTATATAGTTCGACGCAGTGAGAAGAAGCGGAGGTGCCCCCCCCCCCCTCCTAAGCCGAACTAGTCTCTGAGGTCACAAACATGGCCAATATCTCCCTGATATACCTCATAGAACATCCTGATGTTATCAGTTTTGTCCCATTAACGTCAAAGTCCGTAATCACTCCACCATGTGCTGAAATCACTCGTATCGTGTCCATCGTTCCTAGTGCTCGAAGGGTGATCTGTATTGCCGGTAGAAGAAACGATTGAGTAAAAGGTAAATCTTCTAAACGCTCACCTTTCCTTCAGTATCTGCGGTGAAAAGTTGACTTCCGTTTAATCTTATGAGATTAGCATTTTTCTCTTTGATGTTAGCCTTAAACCTTGTTTAGTTTGGACACTTGTAAAAATCAATGTAAATCTGCAGTTAAAACATACCACGCGAAGTTCTTTCTGCTTTTCGAGATCAAACTGGATAAGCTCCTTCTGATCGCCTCCCATAAACAATGATGACGTTCCAGACATTATCCTCATTGAATTCAAATTTTGCATGGATCGAGAACTGAAGTAACGAAGTGGTCAGGCAGTACTAAAACTAACAGCTGGAGAACACAGTTTAATACAAACCCGTACGAGAACGCAACAAGACCGTGACGGGTGTTGGCTTTGAGCTCACTAGCGGACAGTGACAGTATTACCATCTCGGTGGCGCTCATATCACGGATATCGCCTCTTGTCGCGCAAACAGCGGTGTATCTTTCGAACGACGGCGCATAGTAGGAGGCTATTCGTCCCTAAAAATTACTATTTTATATGAATTTCAAAGATGGTTCACAGATTGGTTTTCCTGAAGCAAGCATCCGCTTCGGGTTATAGCAAAGAAGCCCTTGAGGGCAGTGGGCACAATGATGGGGGCGTACGGTTGCGGCCAACGCCTCTGGTGAAAGGGCTGAGTGGGGTGTGGCCGGTAGCCCTCTCGCATCCCTCCCACCAATGACGTTGGCAGCAATCGCTCGCGCCCACTGCTTCCATGCCCCCTCCCCCTCCGCCTGCTCAGGCGCGCCGTTTTTTTGGTCAAATTTAGAAGGCTGAATCTTTTATTTGGTTAAAGCGTCAGAGTCTGTATTGCACCGAGGCTGCTGGACTTCGAGGGAATGGGAACACTGCAAGATCAGCCGCTTCCACTCTGGCTGCCTGCGCTCTACCAGGGTTGAAGGGGTAGGCGGTAGTCTGCTGCATAACACAGTATAATTGGCTGCCACTTAAACGCAAAAGGACTGCGATATCAGGAAGATAGTTAGATTAGAAAATGAATAAAGGATATCTGTATAGACAATGAATTGAATAAAATCATTTTGACCTACGAGAACTCATCCTGTGAATGACCACTGTATAAAACTAGATCGAAGAACTTCAGCTTAAAGCGAAATCTCACATGACAATTGCCGAACCACAGCAGTTCTTCAAATGGATCGAAACAAAGAGCAGTCACCGGAGCTGGGTTCAAAGCATTCGTTTCAATCGTAGAAGCGTAAATAAACGTTCCGTTCCCTTGTGGCCACTAAAAACGACGCAATTATTACGTTAAACTGAGAAAATCCTCAAGAGTGTCCTGTACCTCATCGGTCGATCCAGTGCCGACAAGGGCGGAGTTGTCCATTCCCAGATTGTCCGTGCCTGATTCAATGACCCCTGCGTCAGCTGATCATCGAAACCTATAACTGAATCCCATTTGGTCATGTCTCACCCTCTCGTCACAGTCCGTAGGCCTACCTGGATATAGTCCAGGAGTCAGGGATGGTCATCCAGCACCTTAGAGTCTTTTTTCCTGGAAGAGAAGGGAGTTAAACGCAAATAATCACCATAGAATTATAGTCGAAGTAGCCCGTAGGCCTTTTGCGAACTTTCTTGCCAGGAATACGACACATATGCTACAGCTGATATAATAGTGCTTTACATTCGTTATCCCTTAACTCATCGGGGCGTGTCAGCGGCGCGTGCTTTTTGGCGCGGCGCCAGTCCCTTTCCCACCACTCATTGAGCGCCCCAAGCGGCACTGACCGGTGGAAAACAGAGTGGCGTCGTGGCAAACCCACGCACGGTGACCACGCCTCGGCTGACGCCGGTGATAATGACTCTACACATCTCAAGGAGGAAGATCAATGATGCTCAAGCTTATGAAGGTACTGATGTTATCAAATACAGTAGGATATGCAGAACAGAGCACTTTTATATAGACATCTCCACAAAAAGAAAAGAATAAAACAGCGATTCTCCGAAAATCTGGCCACCTAACGGTCTCATGAGAGCAATCCGTCTCCTTTCATAATAGTGTCATAAAGAACTGTGGCCTTAAAGCTAGCAGCGGATTCAAAAAAGCGGACCACGTTAGGGGCTGGTTCCAATAGGAACAAGCTTGTTCAGAACCGAACAAGCGTTTTAGGATCAGAACTTGACCGATTAGCTGAAAATATGGCAGGATGCATCTGAAGGAAGCCGCACGATAATCCGTAATTAAGTAGTTTTTTTTAAACAATAAGAAGATAAATGACATAGTTCCAAACCCTTTAGAGCGTTCAGTTCAGCTGGAAAACATTGACTAATTGATTACATACAGGATATAAAGACTGTTCAGGTAGGCGCTAATCTGGTAGGGGGGGGGGCGGTCTACGGACAACTCAAACCCAATTCCCTTAATTTCACCGAATTACTGCTTTTGTTTGCGCTCAACGTCTACATGGTATTATTAGGCCACGTTGACCTTACATATCCGAACTTTTTACGCCCGATAGAGGCTCATCCAACCTGGTAGTCCCCCTCCCCCTGAGAAAGCGCACACCCTGGCCTTCGATAAAGCTTCAGCCTTGGATCTCTCGGCAAAGCTGCACTTCTTTGCTTCTCTGCGCTCTGGCTTTTCGCGCCAGGACCATCACGAAATGATTTAGTTGTCACGTAGTCGGCGGAGGAGGGGGTGGGGAGAAATCGAACGCGGCTAGATTCCGCACCCGACTGTTACCACGCGCGCGCAAATTTGAATACAAACAACAGTTTGAATTATTTTCCCGCCCGAGCTAATTTGAACATCAAGCAGCTGTGCGGCGCGCGTAGGCTGGCGAAATTGCTTTTCACAGCTCGACTGCCTGTCATTGCGTACAACGCAGTGCTATGGTAACCTCATGCCTAGTTTTCTAGTACTTATCGTGGGAGATTTAAGTAGCGTTTTTATCTGAGCGGAAACCATCGAGAGGACCGTGCTCGAGCATAGATATCAGTGGGACAGTCTATCTTCCCTGACCGCGTCTCCTTATGCCGAGTGAATTCGCCTGAAAAGGGTGCACTGTTTAGTGAAGGCTATCCCTAAATAACTAAGGAAACGGAAGGGTCAGGATAGCGGACATTCTATATGTCTACGAGTATACTCCTCATCATTACGGACTGTCGGGGCGGGTCAGTGCGGCTGCGTTTTCCGCGGTTCCAAAGTCTTTCTGCACCAGTTGTTGAAGCGATCAAATGACATGACAGCATTATATCCTTCGTATTACTCGTTTTCTACCACTTTTTGTCGCATACGCGCTTCAAAGAAACGGCTGAGAACGGCTTCAAACAGTGTGCGCACTCCTTCTGGCCGATACGCCCCCGAACAGTACCTAATGACGAGAGGGTATATAGTGAAAAGAACTGCGGTTGTGCGACAGGCTACTTGCACGCACTGCGACTGCGCCATGGCTAGTGTTTCATTGCAACTGCTTATTTTAGTGGAGCGGACTTTAATAAAAGAGCGTATCATAAAACAACAACAGACATACTCTAGGATAAAATTTTCGAGTTACGAAGGTAGAGGTACAGACAACGCGAAGTTCTGCAAGTCTCCCGAGAGGCCAGGTCACCAGCAACACGGAGACAGTATATATTTCGTGAGAATGGTGAACACGTTCAATGAACTTACAAGGACCCTTTATCATCGTTTTGCCCAACTCACTTTCTGAACGAACGCATTTTGACGGGTGCTCTACTGTTATGATTTCGGCGAGCGACGAATAGCGTGCAGCTGGATACGGAAGACTTGCCACGCTCCTCAAGCAATATAAAACGTGAAGAAACCGTGGGAGCAAGACCTGGGAGCAGCGAATGTATTATTCATATAGCTCGCTCATCACTTCATACTTTATTACATTTTAGATAACTTTCTTTCCAAAAGGGTAGGCGGAGATGGACAGCTGGTGTGTGCCACGAAGAATTACATAGTGCCCAACACACCGAGGAAATCATAACGCTACATTTCGCATACAACAGCGTAGGAATTGCTCGTGGAACTACTGTTGTACTAGCTTCAATTACCTTTATTACTCGGTAATGCTTTTGATCCTTTAATGCATACAAATTACGCGATACACATATCTTTCCGTTACAGTGACCCGCTTACTTCCTAGAAAACACTCATAAAGTTACTAAGATTACTGCACCAGGGCTAAAAATGGGATAGATTACGCTCCAGTCGTAATTCACTAAAACTCATGGAGATTTTACGTCTCGACGAGTAGTGGAACTAGGCGTAAGATTACTGTAGCACTACGTTGTACGCAACGGACTGCAGTTTGTATTCAAATTTGCGCGCGCGTGGTAACAGTCGGGTGCGGAATCTAGCCGCGTTCGGAGATAAGACTTAGTAAGACCTGTAAACTCCTTAAACCTATGCTACAGTCTTTCACCGCTGGCCATTATGAGATTCCAACAACACAACTATGCCAGCTAGCAGAGCCCTTGAGAAATTAGTTACAAACGGCAAACAATTTCATTGCAATCTTTTCAAGCAATGGTTGATACACGTCTAATGCCGACACCCGTCAAATGGAAGGTCGTTTCGCTTGAAGAGTTGTGTTGCCCAGCAGCAGAGAGCTTCTTCCCCCAGGCTCAGACGAAATTTTCATGCCTTGGACATCGAGAAAAAGGCGTGCAAATGAAAATGGTAGCGATTTGGGCGCTAACGTGGTTGGGACAGGCGGCCACCAATTTGGAAACTGGTGACCATGTAATCTCTCTTTCACCAAAGCAGCCCTTTCAGACACCCGTTGATAAGCGCGAACCCAGATACCGGCCTTTTTTGCCACACCCCCTCTCTCGCCCAACTATGTCGAGGGCCCTTTTCCGCATGCCCAGAAATCGCACGACGGTACTGTCCGGTTGTGTTGACAGAGGTTATAGACGCCCCCCTCCTGCCAGGCCGCCAAGTGCCGTCACTTAAATATCTGCGTTTGCCACATGTAATGATCTCTTCCTCTGCAAATAGTCACTCTAACGCCGCGCGAGCGCGCACGCGCGATGGAAACGCGGATTTGTGTTTCCTGTCCGAGCCGTCATGCAAGCTTTTCAGGGACGGAGGATTACGAGGTTCGAAAGGATAACAAAAGGCGTGACAGCATTGACACTAGACAATCAAAATGAACCGCTCAATTTCATTGGTTAGAACCTTACATCGCAATATGTCGTCTAGATTCCCGCCAATGGATGGTTGTGGGCATTTCGATACTGTTAGCCATCCCATTTTTTCTTCGTCGTTTTATTCTGTCTCAGCAAAGTCCGCGTTCGATACTTACTGACCATTCGAGGGCGTCACGAAATGGCCGACACGACCAGAGCGTCGGTGGAAAGGATTAGAACTTATCAATTGGTCTTTGTTCTTTGACGTTCGATTTTAAAGGCGAAGCCAATGCATATCTTGGGAAGCTTTAAACGATAATTCAAAAATAATGATAAATCTGCAGAATAAAAGACAGTATAGCGTAATGATTCCGCGAAGGCGATTTCCGCCGAATGGATTGGAGTCCGTGGGACACTACTTCGTCCTGAATTACCAGAGAGGCAGTGCTAAACGTCAAGCCCTGTCTAGCCCTTGTGTTCGTCAATTTTCGCGCGGTTTTGAAACCCACTCCAACTTTCCATGAAGAGATTTCCTCCTTGAAGTTCGTGCAGTATCAATTTATGAAATCAACGGAGACAACGATTAAAGTGCCTTAATGTTTCATCAGACACAGCACACAAAAAAAAAAGACCCCCTTTTTTTTGTTCCCCATTCAGACTAGCCAGAAGCAAAACGGCATAACAACCAACAAAAACTTTAATTTTTAGAGACAACCTCGACTCATAGAAAGTGTCTACAATCACTTGCAGTAATTCCCGTTCGTTGCGGAATAAAAATTCGATATTTTGACAAAAAAACCTCCCCATAAAAAAACTGGGCACAACCCCGGTTTCGCTCAAAGTTCGCCGCCGAAAGCAGCTGTGCGCTTCCCGCGTTTTATGTTTGAAAATTCAGGGTTCAAATTACGGTAGTTAGTGTCTTCGTTTGCCGGTACCGGACGAACTGCGGCATTTTAGGCCACATCATTTTGTGAGGTGGCGGTCATCTTCTGGCTCTGTTTTACCTTCGTCAACCTATTTTTTCTCTTTTACTTCCTTTCCAATTCTCGTTTTTCAGTAGGTTGTCTATTTTTGAGAAGTTTTTGCTCAACCGTTCCCATTCTGTGACTGGTTAGGGGTGGTTCGATACGGGTGGTTTCGATTTCGCAATAGGTAATTTTCGTTGGTCCCAATCTGCTCGACTTTTTTCTCATTGTCTCGTCAGGTCAGCCACTTTCAATTCTTGTGAGCTTTTCACTGTTTCGTTACTTTTCAGTTGGGATCCAGTACCGCTCAGCAGCTATGGGCAAGGAAAAGACGCATATTAACATTGTCGTCATCGGACATGTCGACTCCGGTAAATCGACCACAACTGGACATTTGATTTACAAATGTGGTGGTATTGATAAGCGTACGATCGAGAAATTCGAGAAGGAAGCCCAAGAAATGGGTAAAGGTTCCTTCAAGTACGCTTGGGTACTCGACAAACTGAAGGCCGAACGTGAACGTGGTATCACGATTCGATATTGCCCTATGGAAGTTCGAGACGGCGAAGTTCTACATCACTATCATCGATGCGCCTGGACATCGTGATTTCATCAAGAACATGATCACTGGTGGGTTTTGAGTAATCCAGTAAGCAGGGTAGATCAGGTCGACCTCACTTTTGGGCAACAATTTTATTTCGTTGTAGCCATCTGAGAGTTCACTGATCCCATTTTTACGACTGACCTGTGTTGTTTCAGGTACATCCCAGGCCGATTGCGCAGTACTTGTGGTGGCTTGCGGTACTGGAGAAGTTCGAAGGCTGGTATCTCCAAGAATGGGCAGACTCGTGAGCATGCTCTGTTGGCGCAGACTCTGGGTGTAAAGCAACTCATAGTTGCTTGCAACAAGATGGACTCCACTGAGCCACCGTTCTCTGAGGCTCGTTTCAACCGAGATTCACCACCGAAGTCTCGAACTTTATCAAGAAGATCGGATACAACCCCAAGGCGGTCGCATTTCGTCCCCAATTTCTGGATTCAACGGCGACAACATGCTTGAGCCATCACCAAACATGCCATGGTTCAAGGGATGGAATGTTGAGCGCAAGGAGGGTAATGCCACTGGTAAGACCCTGCTCGAGGCTCTTGATTCCATTGTACCACCACAGAGGCCCACGGACAGGCCACTTCGTCTGCCTCTGCAGGATGTGTACAAGATCGGAGGTATGTGATACTTTACTCATACTTTTCAAATTAGTCACCTAAATTTTTTTATGTCAGGTATCGGTACTGTCCCAGTCGGACGTGTCGAGACTGGTATCATCAAGCCTGGTATGGTTGTCACCTTCGCCCCTCAGAATGTCACCACTGAGGTGAAATCTGTTGAAATGCACCACGAGTCGCTACCAGAGGCTGGACCTGGAGACAACGTCGGTTTCAACGTGAAGAACGTGTCCGTCAAGGATATTCGTCGTGGATCCGTCTGCTCTGACTCGAAGAACGATCCCGCCAAGGAGGCTCGCTCGTTCAACGCTCAGGTTTGTTCTGGAATCGATTAGAATACCTGGTAATCAATAATTGATTGTTGGTTTCCAGGTCATCATCATGAACCACCCTGGACAGATCGCCGCCGGATACACCCCAGTGCTTGATTGCCACACTGCACACATTGCGTGCAAGTTCAACGAGCTGAAGGAGAAGGTATGTTTATTCCACTTGTATTGGGCCTTTTGTCGAGTAGTGGTATATAAGTGTAGTTTGTCGTTGCAGGTCGATCGCCGTACTGGTAAGAAGGTCGAGGACAACCCGAAATTCCTCAAGTCTGGCGATGCCGGAATCGTCGAGCTGATCCCCACAAAGCCACTCTGCGTCGAGTCGTTCACAGACTATGCACCACTTGGTCGTTTCGCCGTTCGTGATATGAGGCAAACGGTCGCTGTCGGTGTCATCAAGTCGGTCGACAAGACTGAGGCTGCTGGCAAGGTCACGAAGGCTGCCCAGAAGGCTGGAGTCGGAGCCAAGAAGAAATAACAAGCACGATTTTTATGTTTGTTGATTTATAAATTATGTATATTGTTCCTTGCTTAAATCTTGTGGTTCTCTATGAAATTTGTTGAAGCATCGCAGCAGTACGAACCACGTGTGATTGAGGATAACAATGCGGTCGTTGTACTTTACGTCCTTGTCCCGATCGATTGATTATTGTCGGGAAAGGCATCGGGTGCATCCCTGGGCCACGCCCATATCACAATGTTACCTCTGGACGGGGCGCGACTTGGTAGCCTGGACGTCGATGGTGCGGGGATCGATCCGTGCAAATATTGACGAGTTTAGGTAACGGGCACCGGCTGAGTTGTAAGCGTGGGTGGCCAACCTTGGGCTGAGAAGGCTTAGGCGTCTGGTTAGTTGTTATGAATGGAGCCATAGACAGTTCAGGGTTGGGGCAGGGTGTTACAGGGCTGTGTTCAACCAGACATGCTCTCGCTGCGAGGGCCCGGAGTATTTTCTCTTTGTATCTACTGGCCCAGCAGATGAAGGGATAACCAGAAGAAAGAGGGTAGAGAGGGGAAAAAGGAGTGAGGAGACCTCGTGGTTGACGAGTACCCTGAGACGGGGGCGGAGTAGGGGCCCCTTCTTTTCCTTCCACCCTCTCACCGTTCCCTTTTTTGCAGCGAGGTATGAATGCTTGGTTGAGGACGACTCGTAGACGATTACGATGCAGGGATCTTCCCAAACGTTGAGCGGGAATTCAATTGCACATAGACTGCGTCTCTTAAATTAAGGTCCCTTCCCCGCTCGACAACCGCCATCACTACCAAAATTAAAAAAAATTTGGCTGTGCAGTGGGTCGGTTGAATGAAGGGTGCACACCCCACTCCATCACATCTACATAAGAAGTTATTTCGAGCGCTGCCAACAGGGTAAATCGTACGTTGGAAACCCCCATGGAGGGGTGAGGGGGGAAGGTGTATTAGTTGGTGCTGGAGGAAGGGAAGAACTATTGTCTTGAAAAAAAAAACGTTCGATTGTTGACTTTTTTTTCGGTTTTCTTAAAGCTTCCAGTGGGCCATTACTCAGCCTTTTGACCCCTGGCCCCCCCTTCTAAAAGACCATATGACCAAATATCAGATCCCCGACGTGTCCTGATTCGATGTACACCTTGCCCACTAGACAACAAATAGATTTTAACAATTTATCGATAACTTGTAACAACGTAGCAACATGCAAGTAGACAAGGCATACAGATATGATACAAAGGTAAATATGACACAGGGTAAGACACAGGGGTACGACGCACTTACGAAATGGTAAGGAAGAGATCAGATACCGGTATTTGATGAGGTATTCCGGAGCTGAAGGTAGCTGTGAACTAGATGAATGGTCCCCATCCAATATACATCTGTGCGAGATTTTTCTCATCACTGGCAATATCGATCAACTTCGCCACTTGGCCTTCGAGACTCATTGGAGCACATGAGAACTTATGCTTATATACCTGAGTAACTTTTATTCTCAGAAACAGTTTTATTATCAGTTCTAGTTGAAAGATACAGTCCACACTAATCGTGTGGGAGGAGACAGTCAATCTACGTGTCGTGTCCACGAGTGCGCCAATTCTGATACAATAAGAAATGACGGACCAATGAGAAAGCCGACAGTGGGTGAGTAGCTGCTAAAAGCGAAGCTACTGTTACCAGTAGGGTAGTCTCAACAATCCCCGTCTCCCCTTTGAGTTCAATTTGTTTAGTAGAAATAGAGGTCGGTCTTCCCACACTGTGGTCTGGGAAAAGTATTCAAATGACGCTCCCGAATGAATAAAATCGCTGGGCATTCCAGAAAGGGCACGTTTCATATGCCTTTACTGGGAAAGTTTACGGGTTATCGTTCAGGCATTAAAAGCCTTTGCAACTCTGCACAAGACAGGAAACGTTGTACGTTGGAAATACCCCAGCGAGAGGGTCCTATTTGGCAGCTGGAGGGATAAGGTCGTAATCGCCTTTGAGAAAAACGTTTTCGGTCTTTGTCTCACGGTGAACCACCGATTCAATCGGGGGAAGTTCCTTTTTTTTTTGGGGGGGGGGGGGGGTATGTGGGTGAGGGGATCTGAAAGACAGTCGAGGTTTTCGTGAGAATCCTCGAAAGTGAATAAGAAGGTGGACAATAAAGATGGGGTCACTGGCCTCTCAGTAGGTGGGATTTCAAGGTGTACAACACCTAGGACATTTAGAGCCTCAACAAATTTTGCATAAAGGAATTGATTTTCCTCACTCCTGCTTCTCTTTCTCGGCCATGCCAGGCAACAGCACCTGAAGTGGGTAAAACCCCCCAACCTGATTTGTGTTAACTCCCGCAGAAGCGTTTTAATAGCATTTCAGCACTGGAGATTCCCGTTACCATAAATCGGCAAAAAGAATGCGTAGAAACGGAGAACTGGTTCCCATGTTTGCAGCTTCTCAACATGAAATGGACTGTTTCATAAAAACGGTGCTTTATATTAGTAAGGATTACTGGTGCTATCGCTCCCCTCTCCAAAAACATACGAATAACTTGTGAAGCCTGGCAGTTTTGTGTACAGTTGATAATCGAACGTTACTTTTCCTGCTCTGAAGCCATCGCGATTTTTGCTGCCACGGCTTTTTTGCTGCTGTTTGTTGCTGACTTAATAGCCCTCGTGGTCATTAGGCAGACTGATAAGGAATTGATCAATGTATTCCAATTTCTCAAGGTCTACCCATAATGTACGCAGAAGAGGTTCTTTTTCATGCCACATCCGGTTAGCAGGCGAAGAATGGGCAGAAAGTTTGATGATAACTTGACCGCATGCCGCTTTAGGGGACCCCTCTTTTAGTGAAGAAAAATCCAACTTCACTTCACAGCTCAGCGAGACAACGATATATGGCCTTCGAGACGTTTTAGGATCAACTGTACACTTTCCGTCGACGGTGCATGAAGTTTCAACTGACCACGCTGAAATACAGTCATCCTTAGAACATAGTTTGAAGGGAGTGGGCAAGTTTAAACTTGACGACATGCGCGTTTTTAACTTTTGCGCGGGTGGACAGCGCGCGGTTTTTCTCGAGACGCAACAGCGCGTACACACATAGTTCAGACGATCCCACGAGGCGCTTTTTTGGAAATTGGATCGGAAAACTGGATTAGAGCGCAGTTATGAAGTAAGTTAATACTTCAGTATAGAAAAAACCTGGCTGGCTAACTCTCGTTGCACTAGATGCCAGAAATTCGTCCGCAACCAATGTTTTCATAAAAAAGGTGTCGTGCCCTCTATAGCGTGCAAAATCCTTCACGCCTAATAATTTTGACACATTTACACAATTGTGCGGAATCAGCATTTCTCAACTAAAGTGTTGGAGAGCAAACCATTCAGTGCTGAAAGAGGCAAATGCAGTTCGAGCAAATAGGTGGATCTTGCACGCCAAAAAGTATTTGCTAAAGCAGTGTGTACTGAATTATTCCATGGACTACGCATAGTACGAGTACACCAGGGTCTGAACTATACAATGATTAAGAGAAACTAACTAAAAAACCATGCACTGTTGAAAGATATGGATTTGTTGATCGTGAGTTGTATAGTATGCACGCTGTCCCACATGGCCTACAACGCGTGCATTCAATGTGTCTCACGCGGTCGTCAATGTGTTAAAAACAGCAGCTGGGCAGATTGTTGGAGGGCGGGCCGCTTGTTTGTGCCAGACGTATCCCAGTGAAGGGGCTGCAAGAGGGGTTCGGTCCACAACCCCACTCAAGCCTTTCACGCAATGGACGATTGGCAAAAACGCGCGCGCGCAAAGTCATTTCGCTCCCCACTCGCCGTTTGAATCATGTTACCGGCTACCGTATTTTCTGGAATCCATGAACAACATCGCTAGATTTAACTTGATGGCTATCATTATTATGTTTTTGCAAGCTTCACCGAACACAGTTCCTTTCGTCACTTCCTAACCGTTTCGGTCGATATCCGGCGCAAGTGCAGGCACAGTCCTTTGTAGAGGTTGGAAAGGATTGTCGCAAAACTTTTACCCGCAGGGTAGAGCACCGTTGTGTAAACACCATCGGGTATTGGGTTCGGTATTTTGATCTGTTCGTTTTGGTTTATGTGGTCGTATTGTCTGTTCTCGAGATTTTTTTTAAATTACGCGTGCCGGTTGTAACTAATTCTGATCTATTGCCGTTTCACCGTGTACACTGTAGCGTTAATGACGTGAGACCTGTCAGTGACACTCTCAAGACCGTCAGCGGACGGAAATGTGACGTCAATGACACGATCATACGCGTGCCTTAATCGAGTAATCTAGCCGTCATACCGTGTGCTACATACTAACGTCGATTCACCAACCTATTCTTACATCACAGCCGATTCCATTTTTTGCAAATTAAAAAGCAGTTTACCCGTCACTTGGCGCTATTTTACAGGTGTACTGCCTAGGTGAAGTTCGCAATTACTGAAAAATATGTGACTAACCCCTTTGTTCTGCTGAGCTCGTGCCTCGGTGTTTATCCATTCCAACAGCGGATCGTGGACGAATGTTTGAATAACCTAAGTGAAATTTAAATTCAAACACAACATTAGCTTAATTATTCAGGCGCAGACAGAATCAATGGCGCTGATAATAGCGGGAGGCATAAAAGGCTGCCACGTGATATGGAATGGGAGAATGAAAAAAACAGTCTTTTAAATTTTAAAGTAGCTTCGCTCGACACCGGAGCTGCCTTGCTCCTTTGTGTCGTCGGACGACCTACCGTCAACCGTGCCTGTACTACTGTAATCTCGTCGAGTCCCTCATTTCTGAGTTATGCCTTTTCGAGAAAGTTGAAGCAGAATGATCTGATTATCCAATATTCTGTGTTTTTGTTGTATTTTAGTTCATTCTACTTTGAGGGCCAGGACAGCCTGGCTACCCACTGAACTGCTCCTCCGCCGGACTGAACTTACCAACTGCCGCCGCCTTATGTCTACTGTGTAAAGTCGAAAACCCAGTCTTCCGCACCCATCCTAGTTACTTTCGGCTTATTCTTTGGGCTGCGCTTTACTCATTCTGCCGATTCCTTCTTCACTGAGGAGCCTCAGAGGGGAGGGGGTATGATAGGCAGAATGAAGTGGTTCGTCTGAAAAAAAAAGGGGGGGGGACGGGGCAAACCAGCAAACTCGTGACTACGAAATTACGTAGTTTTTCTCTTTTTATAACCACACAAAAACCCTCACTCCACCTCGCGGATATCCCATTTGCAACCAGGGGCTAAATGCCTCCCTAAGACATTGGCGCCCCAGCTATATGACAGAACGTACGGTGAGTAATGTGTCCTTGTATCTCTCCATCACGTCGCAACGTTGCTTCGGGCAGGACTCCGCGGAACGAACCTCGACGCCGGATGACGAATCCGTTCACAACATGTTGCGGGTCAACACAGAAGGCAGCCCACCTGAAAAGAGGAGACGTCGCAAGTGAAAGTAACTGTCAGTGGAGACCATTCTCGAAAATAAGGCGAGCGATCGGACAGCGGCCGGCCTAGCGACCATAGGCAGCTAACCGAGCTCTCTGTAATAAACTTACACAGAAGTGTTTAACATATCGGCAAGGAGGATTTCCTTGCGCAGCACTTTTTTGTGTGCAAACCTACAATCCCAACGGTGGTGAGCATCATTCAGAAATTATTTTTATACAATTTTCCTTTAGGGGGAAAATAACGGAATCTCGGTAAGCTTGAGCGTTTTGGTTCTCTGCAACTTACGAGTTTGAAAATTTTTAAACTTCAAAGTCGGTAAATTTCGTTGCGCCAGCCGAAAAAATCCCCTAATCGAACAAGCCCACGTAATACCGTTAATCTCTTCCGCCTCTCTACCGACGCCCCGCCACCCCCCACGCCCCACCCCCGATTTTTTATTCAAATGCCCGCTACGTCTCACCGACGTTCTGCGACAGAAGAGATGCAGAAAGTATTTCAACGAACGCATTCGATATGAGAACACCAAGTTTGCAGCTTTAGAGACGCGGTTATTTGCTCGCTTCGCCACTTAAGTTCCCGAGAAACAGCTTAAAATTTATACAATTAACCTGGACGTAGTAAAGGAGTATCCGCTATTGAAGGCGAGTTCGTTTCTTAGTCCAAGCGTAATTGAAAAAAATGCGAGCATGAATTTCAATTGTCAATCGGCCGAGTAATCGAACTGCGTCGGGCTCGTCTCGCGTGTGCATGCATGTTTTATCCACTGAACACCGATGCTTCGCTATCGAATATTAAGAACATCCAGTGCACTTAGAGACCTTAATTACAATTTGCGGCTTAAGTTCCCGACCGCACAGCTTAAATTTAATAATTAACGACGCTTAGAAGGAAGTATGGCTATGAAGGCGATTCGTTTCAGCAACGAACGAATGCGAGCAAAACATTGCATCGGCCGGGAATCGAACCCGGGCCGCCCGCGTGGCAGGCGAGCATTCTACCACTGAACCACCGATGCTCTGCCGCTGAAAATGGTAACCCTTCTGAAGAAGCAGAGAAGGTGGCTATTGGGATGCTTTACAGATGTAAAATAATATGCAGTGATACCCCTAACTACTACAGTTACCCTGTGCCTGAAAATGACAGTCGGGTTAGAGCAGAGCGCTGTCTATGCAAAAAGGAGCCATAGATGAAACTAAGGGATTAATTCATCAATTTTCATGATTCTCGTACGAATATTGAAACATTATTAAAAAAGTAAAATTACTAAAAAATAAACTAATGATGTAATAACTATTTATATCAAACAACGGAAATTTTTACCTACAGTCCACAAAGGGTATGACAAGTGAAGACAACGCGCATAACCTCCTCATGTGCAACCTTTTCGCAAATTTCAAGGAAAAAATTTCCAAATACTGACTTTTCTAGAACGTACCTCACGAACAGGCAAATATTCTCCTTTGTGAAAAATTAGGTTGAAATCAACATGTACGACTCCTCCTTCCATGACGTCAATCAGAATGTTTTCACCATGTCGATCACCTGGAAGCACGGATAACTTCACAGTAAATGGAAAATGCCGTAAATGTGAACCCGCTCGTCACGCTTGAAGTCCAAGAAATGAAAACCAAAAGCCCAGTACTACCTCCTCCTCTCAGGGCCTCTTTAGGGGCCAGGTCCTACCCTGATCAGGGTTCATAACCGTGATGCACAACTTGTGGAAATCCTGTGCATAAGAAGAGACAGGCACTGCATAAAACAGTTAGAGGACACCTTCAACGTGAATATCTTACTTTTTCCACCATCACAATGCATTCTGAATGTGTGGACTGGAAAACTAGAAAGAAGCGTCAGCTATTACTTGGGCAGCTCAAGCGAACAAACCTCTCTCAAGCTCCTCTCGCCTTCCATCCCTTGGTTCAACGATGATAGCTTGCAGGCTTGCCTGGGATGATAGGGACCTAGACGTTATGTTTCTCTTGCGGGTCAAACACTAGCAAAAGCCAGAAAAAAAGATAGACTTTCTCAATTTCACCTTCTAGGGTTCGGTAGCAATGCAGTATCCGGCGCTGCGTACTCGGCAACACTTCGCGGCCACGTCGTGAATTGGGGATCACCAACGAGGCTGGTCGTACTTGGCCGCTGGAGGATCGCAAATGGCGTGGTGAAAATTTCTCTAATCACTGGTTTTTTTCCGTTTCACGCGGCGCCCACTACACCCCCCCCCCTTCCCACCTAGTCGGCGGCATCTCAATATGCTATTTGGATCGGGGATGATCGGGGATGTCTACCTCTCCCCTTTACAAATTCTGAGGAAGTGGGTGAGAGGGCAGGTACGCTGTAGAGGGGTTGTACTGGAGCGAAAAATTAGGGGAGGGGCGTATTTAGCAGAAATTCTCCCCAACGCCAGGACGTGCCCTGATTGCGATACGTGTTCCCCATTCCTGGGTTAGTTTTCAGAGTATTGCAGACATTAAACATGGCAGCTTCATTGTCGATTCACACCTAGGAGATAGCAAAGTGCCCTAGGAGGCAATTCAATTAAGCAGTGAACCAAATGCGGAGCAAACATATGCAATCGCGGCCGCGGAATCGAACCCGGGTCCGCCGCGCTTGGCAGCGCGAGCATTCTACCACTGCAACCACCGATTGGCTACGCCACTGAACTGTTTTTCATGGAAGACCACGCCAACATCTCCAGACACTTTGAAAACTTAGAGATGTGAACCTACATCAAAGATAAGACTCCGGTCACAATCTGCTTCCCTACGGGATAGCACAATAAGGTGTACGCGAATGCTCCAACACTTGCAGTCATGTTCCGCCACGGATAGTCGGGGGTTGCCAGGGGAGCTCGTTTGGCGCGGCGCACCTGCCAATTCCTTTGATTGTTGTCATCTGCCCCTTCGACAACTGGCGGAAAGCAAGCTGGGTAACTGTCAAACCTAGCCTTCCGACAGCCCCAACATCCGTGGCGAACAAGACTGCACTATACAATCCAGAATTGGCTCCAAGTGACTCCATATTTTTAGACCCCAGCAAGCTTTGCGGGAAAGAAGATTCGAAAACGATGAAGACGTCATTGCTACGGTGCAACAATCATTGCTACGGTGCAACATTTATCACAGATGCAACCAAAACGTTTTTTCCCCGACGGCAACAAAAACCTGCGAAACACTGCCAACGGAGAAGTACATTGAAATCTAGGGAAGTTGTGTAAAAAATAAGATATATTTTAGTTCTCTATTAATGAAAAAGCGTAGCTTTTCTAAAGTGTTCCTTTAATTTCTTACTTCATCGCACATACGCATACATTAAATCTCTGTGCACAACGTATCGTGAACAAATCGATCAACCTCTATCATGCTGTCTTTCTGCTTCTTTAGCTCCCCCCCCCTCATTTGCTTTAGGCTTTAGTCTAGGCGTACAATCAAGCTTATCCCGCATTAGAGGTTTGTTTGGTTTCTGTCACGACCTTTCTTTGACGACCTATCTCTTTTACGATCACCACGACGTATTCAACCTTTGAACAAGGATTTCCCACGTTTTGACTAATGTGGATATTTTCACGGCTTCCTGTAGAGCGCCATTATTTTCGTACGTGATGAGCCATCATGCAAATCTATGACTATTGCGCTTGCTTTACATGCATCACATGTCATCCCGTGGCCCACTGAATTTCTCGAAAGAGCCCTGATACCGTCCTCATTCCCCTTCATTCGCCAACGTGGTAAACTGCACTTTCTTCGCTCTAGAGGCACTAATCAATCCGATTAGAGGAGCTTCTTCATGAAAATATTTGACATCAAACTGGTGGTCATCCTGCTGCTTGTTCAAAGTTCTGAGAAATCCATTCGGTAACCGCTGATCCAACGGTCATCACAAAATCGCAGGTGCCTGATCAGTTAGTCCGCGACGATGAGGCAGCGTCCCTAATCGTTTCCGGTGAGGGCAGCGTCCCTGATTTTTTACTGTTGACGCAATTCGGAACACCGGATTTCCCTTAACACTTGCGTATAGCAGGAAACTCCAAACATCGTCCTCTCCAGTCCTACCCGCTCTTCGCCAGGCGACAAAGTTTTGGAAAATTGCTAAGATGGAAGATGACAGAAAGGATGGGAGAGGAGGTCGTACAAGAGGAGGGAAATTCGAGGGAGAGGTATTTTACAGAATTTCCCCACAACGTGATTGTGCGCCACGGCTGCACATAAATCTACAAAGATAATCACATTGCTCGATACCAGCTCTGTCATCGTCGTTACGACTGAAGCAGGGTACGAACTGAGTGAGCGGTCGTACCTAGTGACCCTGGGTGCGCGACGCATCTGAATTCCACTAAGAATCACTGAGTAGTTTAAGTATGAGCAGTCCAGCTAGGTGGGGGCATTTTGCACTTCCTCTGCTTCCTATAGTCATTTCGAGCCATCAAGAAGAGATTTGTGAAATATTGTGGAGCAATGAAGTAATACCAGCGAAAGTCTGTGTGGGAAATATTAGGTTGGCGGGAAAGTTCTGTCACATTTTTTCAAATTAGGCTTTTTTATAGAGAGGCGTGTAAGATCAAAATTGTACAGCAATGTTACTGCGGGGTCCTTGCCAGTTTTTGAGCACCTCATGGATGCCATCGCTTCACAATGCAGGGAGGCGCGACGCAAAGTTGGACATCATCTCAATTTTGACTTGGGCTCGGGTTGTGGAGGTTTTCTCGTCCACATAACGCAACTGCATTAGGGAGCAATGTCTGTGCTACACCAGTCAAGGGAGAGCATTACAGTCCTAATTACACGATACGCCTCAGAAATTTCTTGACGGAAAGTGTCATGATGAGGGCGATTTTTGAACTGCACTGTCATGATGAGGGCGGGCTGTGCGGGCAAATTTTTCACTCTGATCGATGGTACGCTTCAGATCTCGTAGCAGCTCGCGTAGCCCGATTGTGAGAAGGCGACTTTTCATCCAGCACGTTCACACCTGCCAGCTCCCTCAGCGATGTGAGCTCAACGCCATATTCAACTTTGTCACCAGAACTGTATGCTCCCGCTTTAAAGCATTAGCATCTTGGAAGGTTGCCCAACCATTAAGGGCATCGCTCTTATTCAATTCCATTGTTTTGGAACTGCACAGCTAAAAGCTAGCGTCAGGGTGGTGTAAGAAATAGTTTGAATAAGCCTCTATACGGGTCAATGCCGATGGTAGCGGATAAAATCCTTGACCATATTACAGAAGAACGAGAAGAAGCATGAGTGAAGCGAGCGGTACTAATAGAAAGACCATGCGTTGACGTGTAAGTGCTCCATTACCGTGTTACCCCCCTTCAGGTGATGGAGCAGCTTCGGAAAAGTGTGACAGATATTTTTCGCCAAACCTATATTTTATCCAACTTGTTGCAAAGAGTACCGCCCCATTGCCAGTTTCGTAAAACAATGGAACATGGACAATTAGGAACTAGCACAAGCGCAAAATTCTCTCTCCCCCCAGCCTCCCTAGTCGAACCGAGTATGGGTTTGGCGAACCAATGCTGATTTGACTTTACCAATAAACCTGTTACCAGTTACCCCAGTCTCAGTTGGTGTCTGGGGCATGAATATGAATAGTAAACTGTGAATTCAAAATGTTACATGAACATGTAAAATAAATGTCGAGGTCTATAGAAAGCCGGACATGAGAACTAAATTGTTACTGTTCCCCTAAAGTTCCTGCATTGCAAGGAAGTAATTTGATCTTCCCATGGATATTGAAAGAAACCTAGGTATACTTATAGAGCTTGAAATGCTGATTACGTACATGGAGACTAAAATTGCTATCTGCACCTTGCAAACCAGTTATGAGCGGTTAATTCTGCAACGATGCCATGCTATGGTAAAGTGAGAAATTTCCAGCGTCTAACTTTAGCTAGAAATTTTCCCCTGGGGGTAATTCGATCTGAAGATGAACATTGCATCCCTTGAGCGTGAATATGCAAGGGGACCATCTCCAGGTACCCATTAGACAAGCCCAACAATTTTCGCGCTTTTTACCGCTTATTACTCGTTTGAGACGTTCAGCTAGCAGTTTTGGCCGCCACATGAGTAATCAGCGTTCCAAACCTTTTCGATATAATTAGGTCCCCATTCGAAATTTCACGGGAAGTTAAAGTAGTTTTCTGGTAAGGTAGCAGAAGTGTAAGTTTAAAAACCGGTATGAATTGAAAGATTTCCTCACCTAATCCTAGAACGAATCCTATCATTGACATAACAGCACATGAACGAGCAAATCCCAGTCGAGCCGCATACCAAACCGACGGGTCAGGGAACTGTCGTCTACAAAAAGGTATCGTAGCACTCTGAATGTGTTTGTTAGGCAGCGTTCAGACTTCGCGACGGCAGCGCTTCGGTCGCGCGTTCGACGCGATCGATGCAGTCGAAAGCATGCGCATCGATCGTCGAATCGCGCGACCAAAGCGCTGCCGTCGCGAAGTCTGAACGCTACCTCAGTGTTAGCGTAAATGTTTACCGAGGACTATGCGTAGTTTATACTGTAAGGAAGATGATACGACGTGCAGGAAGAATAACCCATGTGATAATTTTCGA